TAAAATAAAAAATTTTATTAAAGTAAGTAGCAGTTTCTACTTTAAACTAGTTTATTAAAAATATAAAAATTTTTTTAATTAGTATTTTTTTTATTAATTTTAGTTTGGTTTTATTTTTATTTTTATAAAGATATTAGTTAGCTAAATAATATTTATTATTATATTTATAATAATAAAAGATTTCTTTTTTTAATTTCTTCTATTTTGAAAGAATTTAGACAAAAAAAACTTTTATTAGACTATAAAAATCCGGATTTTTTAAAAGTTTTATTTAAATAATATTCTTAGCTTTTTAAATCTTATTTTCTCTTTCGGTTTAATATATTTTAATAAATAATAATAGATACTATTTTCTCTCGAGAGTCTAATAGTTTTAATATATATTTATAAATATATTAATTAAATTCCGGTACCAGCTTTAAAAAAAGATTAATATATATTTATTATTTTATTTAAGTTCGAAGTAATATTCTAAAATATCTAAATAAAAATAAAACTTTTTAGATTTTAATTAGTTTATTAATAGGCCTGTTTAAACTGCTTTATAATATTAGATTATAAAATAACTATATTTTAAATAAAAAAAATCTATTAAATAAAATAATTTTATAATTTTTTAGTATTTTAGTAGTTTTTTAGGAATCTTTTATTAATATATTAGTATTATCTCTGCCGATAAATAAAGTTTAAATAATTAATTACAGCTAGAATTTTTCGATTTTTTATTTAATATTTTTAAATAGCTTTTTTAAAAATATATAATAAATTATAAATCTATTTTGTTCTTTATTATAAACTAAACTAAAAAAAAATTTTTTTCTTAAATTTAATTTTTTTTTTCTATTTAAAAAATAAGATTAAGCTAGCACGGTGTTATTATAATTTTATTAAAAATTTAATATTTTTATATTTTATTTATAATATTTAAACCTATTTTTTTAATTATTTTAATTATTCTAATCAGTAAATAGTAGCTTGTACTTTTTAAATATTTATTTAAATTAGATAATATAATTTAAAAACAGATAAAATATCTTAAAATAATTTTAATAAAGATTTATTAAATAATATATTATTTTTTCTTAGATAACTAAAAATAAAAAGAATTAGAAATTATTAAAAATTACTTAATATAGTAGACACGCTGGTTAGATAAAACAAGTAAAATAATTAAAAATAGTCTTTTATTAATTTTAAGACTAATTCTTAAGAAATCTTCTTTTCTAAAAAATCTCAGAATAATATATTATATAAAAAAAAGAGATAAATAATATAAGAATATAAATATTCAGATTAAAATCCCGATAAATCTGTATTAACCCCGAAGCGGCTGCCATAGTAGTAGGTATGGGCTGCTGTAGTAGTAGGTATTATATAACAATAATTCTAATATTTTTGTCAAAATTTGATTTTTTTAAATAAAAAGTTTATAGGCGGTAAGAATATTAATAACTTTTTAGATTAGAGATATTTTTCTATTAAAATTATCTAATTTAAAAAACTAGAAATATCTTCTAAAAATAATTTTATTTTAGATCTTTGTAGTATAGATATAGACTTAGTTATAATAATAAAATTATTTTTTAAAATATTTCTTAATATATTAGATAAATCTTTGTAAAATATTTAATATTACTAAGAATTATAAAATTACTAGTATCTTAGTAATATTATTATTTCTAAAAATAGAAATTATATAATATTAAAAAAAAATATCTAATTTTTAATTAGATCTAATAATAGAGATAATAGTTTTATTTAGCTAACTTTTTATAAATATTTTCTAAAGTTTTTATTAGCTATTCATTAGATTATTCTTAGATTTATAAATAAGATATAGCTCAAAGAAGTATAATAAGATTAAAAATAAATAATTAATTAAAAAGATTATAGATTATATATAAAACAGATAAAATAGTCGCATTATTTAAAAAAATAAATTAAATAGATTAAATAGATTTAAACAGATAGAATAAATAGATCAGGTAGAACCGGTGTATTAGATTTGTACTATAACAAAGTTGCTATTAATAAGAGATTTAATTTATAGAAAGATATTTACTTGATTGCTTTGCTATCTATAATATTTATATAGAAAGATTTAATTCGAGGCAAAAGAAAGGCGGCCGGAGCCGGCAGTTTGCTAAGGGCGGTGGCAGAACACCCGCAGGGTTGGCGGCCAACACCAACCAACGTGTCTATGGCGTCAAGTAGTTCCTAACATTGATACTTTAAAGAAGAAAAAAAGAATTATAATTAAATAAAAAACTTAGAATCTAAGAAAAATATACAAATGAATAGATTTATCTATCTAAGCATCTATCTAAACTGCCGGCCGGAAGGCGGTGAGCTGTCCAGCCAATGGAAGGCCAGGCCATCCACATATTCAATAAAAAACCAACTAATTATAGATTTTTAAAAAGTTATATAAATTTCTAATAATACCCCTATTCTTATATATGAATCAAAATTCCGATATAAACAGCTTAACGGGCTGCTTGCTAAGACCTGGTGGCTGACTTGCTTACATAGCCGACTCGCTTAGTAACGTAATCCACAAGCGGGCTGGCCACACAAGCGGGCTGGCCGGCTTGCCAAGACTTCCTGTTATCATACATCTTTAAAGTCAAATATCAACGTATTTACACAGTTTAAATTGTATTTTCTTGATTTTAAAGTCTTGCAGGACACCTTATATATATATAACCAAGTTGATTACAGTCAGAACAACGTGGTGGCGCGCGGCGGCGAGGTTGTTTCTCACCGGGCACCTCCAAAGGCCTTTCAGTCTTAGGTACCTCGCCAGTTTTATAGACCTGTTGAAAAGTTTTAATTGCCTTGCTGACAGTCAAGCCGTTGAGGCCGGGTATCTGGCGATTATTTTGTTTTCTCTTCTTCTATAGACGTTTATTTGTAGTCTGAAGTTGGTGGACTTTGTGCTTAAATAAGGCAGCTTGATTTAACGCTATTTTTGTATTCTTAATAATATATGATATAGCTGTTTGTATGGACTCCGGAGAACTTCGTATTTGTTTACGAAGTAGTTTTTTAACCGTACTTTTATGCTTCTTTAATTGCCTTAAATTTTTAGGCGTTTTTGGAAGTGTTAAAGCCGTACTTGGCCGGCTTATTAGTATAGTTTTATAAAGATAGTAAACCAGTTTTTTAATAATCTTGTCTAGTTGGAACGGTGCCAGCCCAGCAGCCCGAAAAGTACTTTATATAGTTGAAGATTTGAAGGCCTCGTTTCGCGCATCTGGATACGTATCCAGAAAATTAATCTTATTAATATGGTGGGTGCCTGCACGAATCAACTTTTTAATTAAACCGCCGTACGCCTTCTTAAGAGGTGTAAAATACGTGATATTAAGAGGTTGACAGAGGTGTGAAGAATGTGCAGGCATATAGATAGAAATAACTTTATTTTAACTGTATATTTCGTCGAATTGAGGTATTAAATAAGAGTTATATTTGTTAAGAATTAGAAGACTATACCGGCCAACCTTTCGAGGCTTTATTAGAAAAATAAATTGTTTACGAAGCTAGTATAAACCGATATTATTACTCGTCCAACTGTTTGGTAAGAGGTTGATTCTCCAATTACGAGGCATCTTGCCTTGATACCATGCCTCTATATAGACTTTTTTTTTAAAAATTAAGTATGGAGGCAGAGCAGTCCGAGACGTTGATATACTTAATTAATATTACCTATTCGCGATTTTCAGGCTGTATAAGAAACAGCTTATTAATATAGTTAGATCTTATTACTATACGCGCGGTAGCCACCAAGCCCATAATAAAGCCGGTTTCATCAAAATTGTAGATATTATTATTTAAAATACCGTATTCTGATATAGCTTTATAAACTCGGTTAAACTACTTTTTAATTACAGCTGGATTCTCACAGAGAGCACGCTTATAGTTATATTGATGTGAATAACGAGTCTTAATGGAATTATATCTTCGGATAAAGTTGTATACCCAGTTCTCGCCTACAGACGTATGGGAAGCTGAGTTACGTTTTTGAATAAGAATATTAGTTATTATACGGATTTGGAAAGGCCTGGGCGAAAGACCTTGTTTATTTATAGAGAGAATTTATTTTTCTAAGGCTTCCTCCTCCGAAAGAGTCAATTTATACGATTTGATATATGTATTACTAATTGCTTTAATTCCTTAAAGACGCGTCTGCAGAGTTGATCGCGGAATGTTGTACGCCGCTGCCGCTTAACATATAGACGGAAATTTGCCGTTTTTAAAAGCCTCAATTACCAAGGTGATTCTGCCTTTTTGTTCCACCGATTTTTTTGTTGATATAGCCATTTTTGGTGGAATAGTAGGTGGTTGTTTAACCTCGTTTTTGGTGGGGTAGAGGAATCTCGAGGTGGTGGCCAGCCCGCTTGTGTGGCCAGCCCGCTTGTGGATTACGTTACCGATTATATTAACGTGTTTGGTAAGCGAGTCGGCCATGTAAGCCAGTCGGCCACCCATATATTATATATAAAATAGCTGATTTTCAAATCATATTATCTTCACCAATTTCTATTGAATCTTTTTAAAATTGAATATTAAAAGTTATATATATATCATCTTCTTATGCACAGAATAAAAAATTTTAATTATCTTTATTAGCTTTAATGTACACTATTTATATTATTTACAGAAATTACACTCTATTAAAGAGTTACTACTGGTAAATAATAGATTTTAAAAGAAAATAAACTGATTTATTATATTAAATAAGTTCTTAGATTATATATTACAGACTTTCCAAAGTATATATTCTAAGATTGTTCAACTATTCAAAGATTAAAATCAGCTTTGTATATACAATACATAGGTGGCCGACTGGCTTACATGGCCGACTCGCTTACCGATTACGTTACTAAATATGACGCCATTGGCTGACACTTAGGTACTTTTGTTCCCTGGATTTCCTCCTCGCAACCAGTGCCTGCTGGACTTACGTACAGCCTTGGTGCCTCAAGTAAATCCCCACCATGTTCGTGGTCAATAAGTAAGTACCTCTTCTTCGCCAGTCGGTCTGAATCTTCGCTCATTTGACAATAGCATAGTCTATAACCTCGATATACAGCTCCACAGATTACAGCAGCGCATCACAAGAAGCTCAAATGTCGAGCTTCAGGAAAACCCCAGCAATGTTAACCAAAATAAGGACATAGAAACACTGGAGCGCATCTCAGACTCGCTTTCAATAGCATCACGTTCACAGCCGGCTTTGCGCGCCAGCCGGATTGCGCGATTGATCTCCGAGTGTCCCCAGACTCGGGTAGTATGTGGCCAGTCCTCAGGTCTTCATACGTCTAGTCCAGTCATAACAGATCTATCTTGGATTGTGGCCGCTAGGGCTGCCGTTCAAACATTTGGATTAGTCTTGGAGTCGCTTTCGGAAAACACCCTCGCCATCACTGATGAGCTCACTTACTGGGACAGTCTTCAGGAATCTGAATGGTACATGGGGCTGTATACTGCGCAGACATTCCCTGTGTGGCTCTGGCACAAGCTTGGACATCAATCCTCTGCCTGGTTGTCCCCCGGAATATGGACTCAAGCAATTCTCACATCAAATGCATGGCATCATTTCCACCACTCCGCCCGTCGGCGTGTATTCTCTACGACAATGTCTACTCTGCGAAAGGGATTACTGCATCCACTTCTAGCATCCAAGTTAGAGGTACGCCAGAAACGGAAAATGCTGCATGTGGCCAAAGATGTCAATGCCGGTGCACTGGGATTCCTGGTGGAACGATGCCTTCAGATTGACCTTGATGACGATCTCATAGGCACACATGGTGACAGCTCTGTTAGTGATGAATGGTGCAGTAAGATTATTGACAGTGTGACTTTGTTGGGATTAGTACTGCAGCATCTGGCCTCTGGCGGCACACTTCATGAATTTGAACTCAAGACTACTGCGGCCGCCGAGAAAGAGGGCTCGTTGCTTCACGTGCATTCTGACGGACCTGTGTGTCCTAAAGGACCTTACTATGTTATTGGAAAACTCGACCAAATAAACCAGACATTGATTCCACAGTACCTTGCGCTTACACAAAAAAGTACCAGTGGGCTTGGGCGACCTTCATTCATAGTGCGTTACTGGCTCCCATTTCTACTGGCGACCTTGTCAACCAGTACAATTCTCGAGATATTCAAGGCCCGGCGCCATGAAATCCTGGGGTGGATCACAGATATCGGATCCACTACAATCGAGTTCTGGAACAACTGGGTCGTGGACCCACTGAAGCGACTCGTTGGTACAATAAGACACGATGAGAAGAGCGAAATTGCGTTAATGAGCAAGAACAGTCTTGAAGCAGATCGGGCTAGTTTGGAAAGAATGGTGGTAGATTTCGTCCTAGACCATCGTGAGCCCAGCGATGAGTCTCTCGCATCCGCAGAAATGAACACAATCATGAACAAAGTCAGGGAAGGTGATCTCACACCGGTATTGAGGGCATATGAGAAGGATTTACGAACTCCATTCATTGGAACTATTCGAGGTGACTTAGTACGAGCCCTCCTGATACAGATACAGAAGACAAAGGTGGATGTCGAGGTTGCTATTGGGGGCATTGATGCTTTGCTGAGGAGCCAGGAGCTGGTGTTTGGGTAAGTATTACCCTACTTCCACAAGTAGGTGTGATGTTAACAGGCCATAGTTTCGTTGGATTGACCCCTGGTCTATTGGTGTCGTATGCCTCCGTTCATTGGCTCTTTGGCATGTTTGGCAGCAGGAAGGGCTTGCGCCTTGGTCGGCGGCAGCATGAATTAAGGCACGCACTGAGGTTAGTACGCTATCTCGGCGAAGTCGATGACGAGTCTAATGAGGCCCAATCCAGACAAGTTCACCGTAACCTAACTTTATCGACTGTGACGGCCAGCGGAACCCTAGCCTTCAAAGACTACGGTCTGCTAATATGCAACACCGAGATTTTACTTCAAAAAGCACAAGCCATGCTTAGAGGGGCTGACATCCATGCCTTCCAGGAAGACATTAATGACATCATCAGCAAAAGAAGCGCGCAAAAACAAATTAAGGTTGTTGAACGGATGGGTTGGGTTTATTCCCGATGGTTGTAAGACTATCTTCAGCGTGTCTTGCCAACACTCAGCCATAAAAACCAATGATGATTCGACTGGATTAACCTGTTAGGTACCTAGTACTCAAGTCATCCTACTTGCATTGGGAATGGCAATTGCTACACCGGTTATTGTTGGGGTATATGGACTCCCAAAATCCGACCGTCACCGGCCAGACCCCATGGGTAGACAGTAAATGAGGATGCTCTTTCTAAAACCATACATGTCATGGATGAGGTAGGCAGCGGAAGGGAGAGGAGGCACTGGCAATAGTAGCCAAGTAATAGCGACCGACGCACACATCATTTCTTGTGGTAGTAAATAGCAGAGTCGACAGCTCCATTCTTTCAATATGGATTGTTATTTTGTTGCTTTGCGCCGAAACAATTCTAGATGATCTACACTGAAGCTGATACGCGGAATTCTTCTTGAATTAGATGATTATGGCGGGTGTATGGGGCCAAGCAGTGCGATACGGTGGTGTTACTGGTCTGGGTACGGAGTACTACCAGTGGATCTACGGAGTTCTACTCCGCCTTGGGCCTTCTTTGTACACGCAACTTATAGGTTGCATCCCTAGCTTATTCTCAAACTCGCCATCTTATCACCGGCATCGTTCAATATCATACATTATCAAGAACGCACAATCTTCACCCCACATTTCTTCAGGATCTGATCGCAGTCGATTCAAAGATCGGAGGTAACGTTAGCCCACAAGGATTCTAAACCCACTTTTCTTTGTCTCCCGGCCCCGGCCCCTGAGCCCCCGTACTCCCGGGCAAACGATTGAATCATCGGAGTCCTCCCAAACTACCATTACTCGGGTTAAACCAGGCCTTCCTAAGGTCACATCTGAGCGCTGTGTGCGAGAAGCTCCCACAGACCAGTCCAGGGTAATTGCATCTCTAAAGAAAATCCCAGAGGAGTGATGTACTAATAGTCATCAGTGAAACGGAAACCGAGAAGGCAGGGTTGAGCGGCGAACCACGGAGTAGAAAGCAACACCTGCTTCGGACCAGTCTCAATTCTGAGCACAAACTCCTCACTGAAGCTATTTCTTGAAGCTTGACCTTGCTGGACCTTTGTAGTTAGGGCCAGTCCATAATGGCCGGTACAAGGAATTACGACTTTTTGGTAGGTGGCAGTTTCCTCTCTGGCGAATCATCTCTCTAATATTATGTATCCTCAGATCAAACTGTTGTTGATTGGCGACTCGGGTGTCGGTAAATCTTGCTGTCTGCTGCGATTCAGCGAGGACTCATTCACTCCGTCGTTCATTACCACTATTGGCATTGATTTTAAGATCCGCACTATCGAACTCGATGGCAAGCGCGTGAAGCTCCAAATATGGGATACGGCTGGGCAAGAGCGATTCAGAACAATTACAACAGCTTACTATAGAGGAGCAATGGGGATTCTCCTGGTTTATGATGTCACTGATGAACGGTCGTTCCAAAGTAAGAACTCCTTCTGGAATTACTGGCACGAGTGAGATGCTAATGATCTAAATCATTTAATCAGATATCCGCACATGGTTTTCCAATGTGGAGCAGCATGCAAGTGAAGGTGTTCACAAGATACTCATTGGCAATAAGTGTGATTGGGAAGAGAAGCGAGCAGTATCGACCGAGCAAGGCCAGCAGCTAGCTAACGAGCTGGGTATTCCATTTCTAGAAGTCTCGGCCAAGAACAACATCAACATTGAAAAAGCTTTCTATGATCTTGCTTCAGATATCAAGAAAGGAATGGATTCATCAAAGTCTGAGCAGGTCAGCTCTCAGGGCGTTAGTATAGACCAGCAAGGCTCTGGCTTGAACGGCAACACAAGCGGAAAGTGTTGCTAATTCAAATTCTCCACCTCTGAAAGCTTCAAGTTCTCTCCCTCTTGTTCCTCTGTGGCCCTACACCTTGCCCCACATGTGGCCGAGCACGTGTCATGGATGGTATATACCAAAGCTCTCATACTCCAGTAGATGCTAAGGAAATAGCCTGGTCGTATGAAAGTCTTGGTGCTAAGATTTACGTCTAAGTGAAGGTACAACACTGTTATTTCTGCAATTTGTCTCTTTCTGCTTGAAACCTCGTGTGTTTAACAATGCGTCACTTTAGCTCTATTACACTGCTGCTCTCGAACCTGGCGTCGGCCCGCTAAATTTGTCATGAAGCAAAGTAGCCGACTCCCAGGGATACATTCTTTGGTTAGATAGTATGGTGGTATCTTACCCTCGGCAGCGATTCGTGGCATATCTCCTATCCCCAGCATATACGAGCTCCTGACATAATGGGAATGGTGCTTCGAATGGTAGCAGTGTATTGATTGTTCTGCTTTCAGGGCTATACGGGCATCAACAGGGGCTCCTTCTATGTTGTGGGTATCATTCTCATACCTCATCAACGGTAATGATATGTACTCGGGTCGGTAATTCGGTATTTCGGCACCTGTTCGGTAGTATTTTTATATCAGTCATATTGCTCTGATATACAGAGTCTCAAAAAAGGGTCCGCAATCGGTGTCAAGATGTATATAAATTATCTAGAATGATAAACCATCTAACCTCAGACACGGCCTCCTGGTCGATCGCGGCAGGAGGCCTGAGGACAGAACAGTTCACATGCGGTACTTGTAGAAGACAGCTCAAAAATGATCACTCATAGGCAGAATACATGCGAGCAAGTCAAATGTCTTAGTAGAAACTTGCAGATAGTCCCAAATCCAGTTGGTATTCGGATATTCGATGTTTGTGATTCCTTCGCAACTCATTTGCAGCCAAAGTACTGTGCCTGGAGTTTCAAAGTCATTATACTGAGGGGGGATTTCACAAGCCCGTATGTGCCAGAACCACGGCCTCTAGAAGAGATTACGCACCTGAGAATACATTGCTTGTGACAGTTCCCCTGACTCGGGTACGGGTGAATGCGATACACGAACAGATACAATTGGTTCTGTCCAGCTTAGCTACTGACTACTACGTAGCCTGAGGTAGAGAAGTGTGTGCGAGTGGGGCAGCCTGCATATCACCCGCTCCTAAGGGGAAAAAAGAAATTTAAGCTCATAAAGTGTCTACGCCATCTCACTATCTCTATACTCTGGCTTTTTCCTTGACAGAAATGGCTCAAATATAGCGAGCTCTTGACAATTGCCCGCCTATCCACAAAGCTCTTCCTCACTTTATAGAAGGCACTCAACCTCGTCAGTCCTTGGTACGCACTCGAAGTGCTCGCTCTCCTTGTTCCTCGGCCATTGCATCCCGCGCGACCATCAAAAAATGATTTAGTAAGCGCTGGGCTTAATCCAATTGATATTGAAACCTCCTTTACTTCGTGATCTGCCTTCTTCTAGAAGAGTGAGATTGTTCCACCCGAAGCCAATCTCTTCCGGCCGATACTTCCAAGCTTCGCATTATACACCATGTCTGAGACTCGGTCTTTCACCGTTCGACCGCTCTCGAAACAGAGAAACGATCATCGAGATGCCTTTCGCGTATATCTATCATCTTCCTCGTTAGCCGCTCTTAAACTTAGGGCTGGTGATGTTTGCGCCCTCCATATCTCTGGAGAAGGTTCCAAAAATGCTATAGCCTGGAATGCAGTTGAGAATATCCAGAATACCGTCGTTCAGACTTCTCGGACTCTTCAGGATTGCTACGGATATAAGATTGGCGAAAAAGTTACTATCAGCAAAGTTGATGGGCCACTCGAAGAAGCACAGACGGTCTCCTTAGTGGATTGCTCAGATGATGACAAGATCACTAAGTTTGGCATCATACCCTCCAGCGACATAAGCCATTGGGCATGGTCACTTGAATTCCCTCTGGCGAGATGTGATGCAATAGCCATCGGTCTTGTTTTCGAACTGGAGCTTAGAGGCCAGCGACGCAGTTTCAAAGTGGCCGGCATGTCAGGCCAAAGTCAAAACGGTGATTATACCTTGCTCAAATTCACAGACACTAGCAAAATCATCATCGGTGAGGACGTGGCACCAGTGAGTCGTAGGGAGTCCTATCTGAAAGTGAATTCAGATGGCTTGGGTGGGATGCAGTCACAGATCGATAGTATCAACGAGAGTCTTGCTGATTTCAACTCGGATGCCAATACTCTGACCATGCCCCCATTCTATGAGCATAGTCGAGGCATATTGCTCTATGGTCCTAAGGGAACCGGCAAGACGGCGCTATTGGGCCAAATCCAAGCGGCGGGGTGGAGAAAAACCTTCAACGTTGGCTCCTCTACCTTTGGTAGGAACTCTGGTGACGCTGAAACCAAGCTGCGCAATGCTTTTCAGGACGCAATGCGTTGTCAACCAAGTGCTATAATCATCGATCAACTGGAGTATATAGCGCCGAGAAGAACCACCGTGGAGACCCAATCATTGACGGCCGCTGTGTGCGAGTGTCTGGACATGGTGAAAGGCGCTCTAGTTTTGGTTGTGGCCGCGACTCGGCACCCGAACGATGTTGATGATGTTTTAAGGACACCCCATCGATTAGCGATTGAGATCGAGCTTCAAGTGCCAACAGCGCAAGCTCGAAGTGAAATCTTACATGCCATATGCGGAAACCCATCCCCTACGCTGAGTGACACGCTAATAGATCTCATAGCGGAAAAAACGCATGGTTATGTCGGTGCTGATCTATTTGCATTGCTTCAATTGGTCTGTCGAAAGGCGCGAAAACGCCAATCGACGGATTATATTTGTGCCACTGATAATGGCTCAAGTACGGGCCGAGTGGCTTTGGACGCAAATATACCCCTCGAGATCGAGGATGATGATGTTCTTTCTGCTCTACAGGAGACACGACCAACTGCAATGCGGGAGGTATTCCTGGAAACCCCTAAAGTGAGGTGGTCGGACATTGGTGGACAGCATGAGATTAAAAGACGCCTACAGAAGGCAGTGGAGAGACCTCTGAAGGTAGGTTTCCGTATTTTGATCATGTCTTGACATTGCTGACTCCCCGGAACAGCATCCACAACGAATGAAGAGATTGAATGTAAACAGTAAAAAGGGAATTTTGCTATATGGGCCACCGGGTTGCTCCAAGACGCTGACCGTGAAAGCACTGGCTACGGAAGCAGGATTGAACTTTCTGGCAGTCAAAGGTGCTGAAATCCTGAGCATGTACGTTGGAGAGTCAGAAAGAGCACTACGGGAGATTTTCCGAAAGGCACGGTCCGCGAGGCCTAGTATCGTCTTCTTCGATGAGATTGATGCAATAGCCTCAAGGCGTGGCAGCTCATCTCAGGGCGGGGTCAATGTTCTTACAACACTATTGAACGAGATGGACGGAATTGAAGAGCTGAGGAATGTGTTGGTCGTCGCGGCTACAAACAAGCCTGAGGTCATTGATCCGGCCCTGATGCGACCAGGCCGTCTGGACAATATCCTTTATATAGGGCCTCCAGATTTCGAGGCCCGGAAGGAGATCCTGAGCATCTGGTTCAGTAAGTCTGTGGTCCATCCCGAAGTAGAGATAGAAGCTCTAGCTGGGAAAATGGAAGGATACTCCGGAGCGGAGATTGTTAGTATATGCGAGACAGCCGGTGATGCTGCTTTAGATGAGGAAGAGGGAACCGGACAGGAGCAGGACATTCGATTGAAACATTTCGAATATGCACTCCAGCAGGTTCGCAGGCAAATAACAGCCGCCGTTGTGGAGGAGTACGAACGATGGGGTAACGCTACAGCCGATATTTAGAAATATTTATGATGCCTCTGATACTGATCCATTGTAAGACGCTGAAACTGCACATATCTAACACTGGCCTGGTTCAAAAATGAAGGACATAAGCGAAATAGACCCTGCGTATCTACATTCCCGAGTCGCGAATCCGCGAATCCCCTGTCTCATGCCATAGGTGTGAGATGCTACGTAGTTGCGGGTCGGGTGTTTGAATACCGAGAAGGATGGCCCGGCTCCTACGTATTGTATTTGGAGGCGGGACGCTCCACACCACCCACCCTCCTTGCCAGTACCTCGCCCAACTTCCAGCCAACCTTCTGACTTCAACTTTCCAGGTCTAGGCCTGACAACACAGCATGTCTGACAGGCCTCGGGAATACTCTTCGAACCGCTCACCGCGCTACTCTACTCTCAATCGAGACGCCAGACCATCGCGACGATCTGAATCTCCCCGTTCAGAGACAAGGTACAAGAGTGGGACGCGAAGTCCGTCCGTTGATCGCATCTCGGGCCGGCGCAATGGCGCTCGATTCACAAGCAGGTCTCGATCTCGAACGCATTCTCGGAGTCGAAGTCGGAGTCAGACTTCAAGGTTATATGGAAAGGAAGGTTACAGCCGGTCGCCTAGTCCCTCACTCGCCTTGCCCCGAAGCTCCAAGGTTTGTTGACCACGGACATAACAAGCTTGGCCAGCTACACGTTCTCGCGCTAACTGCATCAAAGATTGTTGTAGAAAGACTCACCAAAAATGTTACCGAATCACATCTACATGAGATCTTCGGGGGGTTCGGAGAGATACAAAATCTCGATTTGCCCATGAATAAAGCCTGTAACTCAACGAGCTCTCGCCGGTCATAATCTCATGGATGCTAACCAGTCGCAGTCATGACCAATAGAGGCACTGCCTACATCCTATACCATGACCCTGCTGATGCAGAGGCCGCCATCGCACACATGCACGAAGCGCAGCTAGACGGTGTCGTCATAAGTGTCTCCATTGTCTTGCCCAGGCGAGCGTTCTCGCGCTCGCCGCCGCCACAAAGTCAAGGCAACATAGGAAGCTTCGGCCGTCAGAGCCAGGGCCATGGCCCTTCGCCCTTAGACAGTCGTGCTTCCCGCCGTTCGCCGTTCCCGCAAAGGTCAACGTCGCCACGAAGGGCCCGGCGTTCGCGGCCTATGGATAGGCATGATATCTATCGGCCACGCTCTCATTCGCGCTCTCGATCACCACGCCGCTCCAGATCATATTCTTCAAGAACTTCCTCGGTATCACCGAAAGGGCGGATGCCACACCCACGAGTGGACACTCCTCGTCGTCGACGTCGCAGTCCCAGCTACAGCAGTTATGAGTACAGCAGTCGCAGTGATAAGAGTCGGAGCCCGAGTCAGACCAGAGACCGTTATCGGCATGATACCACACGGTAAACTCCAAATAAACTTACCGTCGTCTTTGAAACGATTCACACACCATCTGCACTCATTACTAGATTGTGGATGGTCACCAAGCCAAAATGTCATCATCAACATACCAAGTGAAATTTTCAGGCAACACAAGCAGACGAGCCAGTCCTATCAGTAATAGCTAGAAAAATGGGACATTGTTTCTCAGTCCAACCACCCGTAGCCCCGTGCATTCATGTATTTACTGAGAGAGCCGTCGATGTACTAATAGTATGACAAATCTGAGTGCAGGTCTGTCCAGTTTAGATAAAGGAGCACCAGCCAATATACATAGCTGCCAAATTTCGCTTATCGGTTGCCTGTATAATCAATTCATCGACGTGGCCATCGACGGAAAGTGGGACAGATTCCCCAGGTAGGAGACCTCGGAGTTTGCTGCGCACATTTTCTAGTACTCCGGCGGGTGTATCAGGCACACTTGCATGTGTGCGACGCTATAAATCACTGAGCATCAAAAATTTCTTTCTGGGGATTCGGCACGCTTACTTTTTTCCCTATAAAATCTGTGGTCGGATCGTGCAGGAAAGTCTCCAGGACCGTCATGAGTGCATCTTCATTGTGGCGAAGCAATCTTAGACTTATCTCGCAGGTCTTGCGGTATGGACCTGTTTGGAATACTTGTCAATATCCGAGAGCTCGTGCCTTCAAGCTTCCCAACCCACTAACCATTGTATCCGTAGGCGCCAAACGCATCCACCATATTCTGTGTTAAGCGGAAAGGAACTAGCTCAGGTTTGTCGAAGGTCAAGCCCTTGAGAAGGAATTAGCTTTTGGAAGAACATAGCTATACTTGGCAAATTCCAACGCACCTTGTCAAAAAGGCAATTGAAGTCGACATGTAGTACCCCCCCTGTCCCTTCCTCAAAGAGAATGTTCTCACCATGACGGTCACCTAATCTGTTGGGAGTCTCTTAAAACAACGTCCTGGAATAGTGCTAGGAAGCCTAAGGAAACTAGGTGCCATACCCTAAGACATAACCAACCATAGACATAACAGCGCAGGATCGGGTGTAACGTATCCTGGCTGCAAACCATGCTTCCGTTTCAGGGAACATCTCGACAAACCAGTCGTAGAGCACCGGAGGAAATCTAGTCGTCTGTTAGCCAACCAGCCTGTAGCGGGATTTGTCTTCCGTGTTGTGTACTTAGCAAGAATCTGAGTTGAGAACAAATCGAGTTTCGAAGCCTCTGAGCAGGCTTCATTGAGATTTTGCCTAATCTCGCTGTACTATATAGTAGAAGCTGGGTTAGCACTCAGCCTTCCGGCCCATGCGCGGTAGGAGACCTGCATTTGGCGAAATTCCTCTCTCTTTCAAAAGCTTGATGACAAGTTCTCTCAATGTGCGGAGGTTATCCACCCACTCAATGAGTCCACACTCCTCGTTCAGTGGCGTAACAGCATATGTTTTGATGTCTGTCGAGCGATACATAAGATCAGAAGAGGGAAAATGAAAAAGCTGTCCGGGAGTATAATGCCTACACATTCGACGTTTGCTCGATTCGACGTCTCTCTTCAAGAATCTATTGATCATGTTATTGAACTCCATGAGGCGTTGATCCTTGCGAAGGTCATCCTTGGGTTTGCATAGGATACTGTAAATCCTTCCATCCGACCCTCGGATACTGATACGACGGGGCTTTTGAAGTGAATTTAGGATTTGAGCATCATCGAGGACAGCTAGTAACGATCAGCAAGCACGTTAAGTAATGAGTATCGGCAGCTTCGCACCTTCAATTGTAATTGCCTCTCTGGGGAAGGCCCTGAAGTTTTTGAGATATTCAGAATCATGACTGGCTGGTAAGATCGGTGTTAACATTGCCTGAAACGGCACGACAAGTCGACAGGGGGCCACTTTATGATTGAAACCAAGAGTTCTAAGATTTACCCTTGATACCTTCTCTTCAATGCGTGCTATGCATAGTTTCAACATCTCATCTGAGAATTTCTGGCCTTGATTAACCATCGCACGCATGTCAGATACGGATGACTCTCCTTTCGCTTTCTTGTTCATGTCCTGCTTCAATTAGCTCGCAGGACCTGTCAATTTTCCATGTTGACATACCGTGATTCTCTGGAGACAACTAATACCTCTCGAGGCTCTGTCTCTAGAAGACGACTTGACCACAGCGAGGACTGTCCATAGCCCTTGCTGAGGGAAAGAATTCACAGCTTTGGCTACAATTTTTGTCAAGAGGTCGTATACCGTGGTATTCGGATGACAGATACGAGCTAGGACTTGAGGAAGAATTGTAAACAGCTGAGTTTGTTAGTATGTTATGCTGTAAATCAAAGTCACTGGACCTACCAACGCAGCTGGGACTCGATGTATGTACTTCTTTAGCTGCAAATGTATGTCTTCGAGGCTTCTCTTTCGCTGCTGTAGGGTATGCTTTTGAAAATCCCTTTTTTCAGGAATGTCAACAATTATGTGACTAGACAGGCAAAAAGCCGTTGTTGTCGAAACAACGAATGAGTAGAGTAAAGGGGCTTACTCATTGTCTCCGCGCTTAGGATCAAATGGCTGTTCCACGATAGATGCGTGTTCCAACCACAAAGTCAGCACTTTGGGCAGTGATTGAAAAACATATTTATTTCCATGAGCCAATGATCGTAGATAATTGTCGACAACAAGCTTTGAGACTTCGCCACTCAAACTAGGACGTGTAAGATAGAATCGCTTCAGAAATCTGGGGACCTGAAAAGGCAAACGTACTAGATCTGTGCCTCCTTCCCCAGTGGCTTCGCCTTCTCAGAATCCAAGATCTTATTGTAGTGCTTTCCCAGATAATAATGTGCTTTCTCCCACCTACTTATGATTAGCATGAGTCCCTCACAGAGAACTTCGGCAGATACCTTGGTTGAAGTTTTATGGCTTCCCTGAACCTTTGAACAATAACATCCGATTGAGTTTGACCGGCACGATCCGTCCATTTTGCCAGGAGCAAGTGGGCCTAAGAGAGACGTGGCCCGGGTTAGACGCTGTACATAACTCAATAAAGGTGATATACCCTAGCTGCAAGAATATTCTGGTGTTTGTCACGTAGTAGGGATCCGGAATCGGGATCGCCTGACGTTGAAAATTCATTAGCCATGATTGCACCTTCAAGCGTCTGTATCGCTTTCCGGTGGTGACCGTCTTTCCACAGAAGTCGGGCGTGTTCGATAGTAGCTGTTCGGTCTTTCAAGCGGGCAGCATGAAGCATTGACTGATATGCTTGGTTGGTGTAATTGCCTTTCCGCAGAAGACGGGCACTAGCCAGCCAAGCAGCTGCGATTTCAGAATCGGAGAATTTGCCCCTTCAAGTGTACAGTCAGTCCGCGGTAAGTATCATAAAACTGAAGGAATATCCATACGTCAATTCCATTGTTGCTCGCCTAAGGCCAAGTAGGTATTGCTTGTCGGAGATATATCCTCCTAAGATGTCTAGACGACGGTCTAAAACAGCACGCACTTCTGACCGTGACGTCTGCTCGATGCAAGGCTCGTGTCCTATCTTGACTATGAACTCAATCTCACATAAAGCATGCAACCTGTGTATACTGTCATGGCATGATTGCAACGAAGTCACCGAATTAGCTGTCAGTGATTTGGCAACATTGAGTCGCAGACCATTGATTAGCTGCTCAAACCTTGCCCCGTCATCACGACGAAGTGCGTCGAAAGCGAGTCCAATCCCGATATTGAAATCCGACGTATCCTGCGAGCCAAGTCGTAGATAATGGTGTAGTCGATCCCAGTTCCCAGTAATCCAAGATGCTTCCACTGCGAAGGGAAGGAACTTACTCCTTAGAACAGGACTTGTGAGAACCTCGAATCTGGCGAGAATAGCATCTGTGCAGCACGAGTGAGTCTGAAAAGTTGCAGCAAACAACTGCTAATTAACGGCATACCTTGCTGTCCTGATTCCTTGAGACAAGTAAGCAGATTCCATTGCGCTTCGCCGTTGTCCGGATCTTTCTGGACCTGTAGCTCATACCAGCTCTGCGCAGTAGCCCACCTTCCTGCTTTGCGATGTTCAAGCACTTGCTGATCGATGTTCAGCGCATGAAGACTGGACGAAATTCCTTCAATGCCGTCTGGTTCGTCGATCTGGCTGTAAATATCCTGAAGACGCTGGTACAGAGACTCGGTTCCGGAAGGCTGCCGTGTGCCGGCCTGAATCTTGGACTGACGAATGTACTGCTCCCAATGGAACAGGGCCCGTGAGAATGACTTGCACTCGACCGCTCTTCTTGAGATGATCTCTGGGGGTATTGAGATCAACAAAGCTTCCACAGCTTTCACCTGCGATGTGTAGGTATCCAGGAGCATTTGGCGAGACGCTTCCTTGTGGGTACGACTAACGTGATGGCTGTGATGCTTGAAGCTATTGAGTTGTTTCTTCTTTCCTTGAAGCCATCGCGAAAGATAATCTAGAACCTCAAAGATACTCTTAAGCAAGAGACCAAGGTGCTAGTCAGTGCCTGCGAAGTGAGAAATCCAGGGAAAACTGACCTGACTGCATAACAATATGTTCTCGTATGCATAATTGTTCGA